TGCTTCGCTGGAACAGTGCGCTTCCTTGATTTTAGAGGATTGAGTGACTGACTGAGACGTGGTGATGCGGCACCAAAGGAAGCCAGTCCTGCGGACGCGGGTTCACCGCACAAGCATGTTTGATTTTTCTTGGCTCTGAAGCTGAATAAATGCTGTTCGCCTTGCCTCTGATGTCCCACAAACTGCATTTCGAGCTTAGGATGATGAGAGGAAATCAGATGAGGTTGATCTGGTTGGTGATGGTCTTGTGCACAGTTTGAGGCATGGCAGAAGCGGCATGAGGACAACTCGCAAATGATGGCGTCAGACTCACTGGCCTCCAGGCGTGCTCGTACAAAACACTCCGGAATCACAGTGCATCTGGGGCAGTACACCTTTCCTCCGAGTACCCAAGCCGCTTCTGTGGCTGCCACGTGGCTTAAAGCTATCGTTTGCCTGGCCTTAGGCCTTGTTGAGCGAACCGTCTCGTGTGCTATTATATTGCATTGGCTGGTGTGTAATGCAGAAATGCGTGGACCGATTCCGCCAAGAGACGACGGCGACTCATGCTAGTCTGTTGTCGTTTGGTTTTAATGGCATCTTCAAGTTGTCCCGGGGACTGCCTCAACCTAAGCAAAAGTGGTGAGAAACTGTATCTCGACGACTTGCTCGATAAATTTATGTTGCAGCAGCTTTCTGTTGGTCCGCAAAGGTGCATGGAAGGGATTCCCAAGTTGGCCCCACCGGAGAATGAAGAGGATTTGACTGGAACGTAGTCCTGTGAAACCGATCCATCCATGTTGACCTTCCGTCTGTCTATTCGTGAGACATGGTCAATGTGCCAAGTATTTCTGTAGGAAGTGTCTCCAAGCCCTAAATGAAGAAGGATGATCGGCTACAATCCCACCTATTTGGTTGGTTGGTTAGTGCTTCTTCAGCATGCATGCACACCTCACTTGCTTTAGTGTTTAATGAAGTTTCATAGGGAATCGGTTCACTCTCTGTCGGTTTTTTTCACGGCTGGACGTGCGAAAGGTAGGCAGGTATGATTTGGAGTCTCAGAATGATGTGACGTAGACTCCTTCTCACAAATCCACATCTGGTATGAAGCGTAAATGAGAGCCCAACAAGAGGCGAACTCAGGCCACACGCGATTGGGCCGTATTGACGTTGTCTAAGCCTCATCACGGGGCCCTGTTCTGAGAGAGGGGCAAGAACTGCATAAAACCGGTTTAGTCGTTCCCACCCTCTTCTGGGACGTCTGTCCTACGTCACAAGCCTCAAAGGGGGTTGGTCGGACTCACCTGAGGGCATCTTACGAGGAGGGTAGAATTACCGAATTAGTCTGGTCAACTAAGTGCCTTGTAGATTGCCCAGGCGACGAAAGACAGGACATTCTTAGTGGAATTCTCCCTAGGGAAGTTTAAGGCTAGGAGTTTTGCAGTTATCGAGGTCTGTGAGTGTTAAGGTAAGACCAACTGATGTCCCATTCATCAAAAAGCCAGTTCACCTTGTGAAGCGATGATCCAAACAGACCAGAATGTGCTTCAGTGTCTCTGTGTGTAGGTGTGCTTATACATGGTCAAGTTTGACTACACGTGCATGTAAGCATGCTAAAGAGAGGTTAAACCGCTACTTCGAAGTTCACTTGGTCTTCAACCGGCAGTTTTCGCAAACCCGACTCATCAATCATGTGCTCACTTGGTTCACTTAAGCAGATAGAGGAGTGACTATGACAAGACCAGAAAGAACAATGGCAGGTTAAACTTGTGAATTGGCCTACCTGAAGACTGGGCGTCAAGGTCTATTTTCGCAAGCCATTTTTTAAATTATTTATGCCTAGGTATGGATGCGCATAGACATGGGCGTGGTTGTTGGACTGCTTGCATTATAAATCCCTTCCACCGTGTCAAGGAAAGAGGCAGAACCAAGGAAAAGCATACGTGAAAAAGGCCGTACCAAGTTAGGCAATATTAAAATTTGCCTCCATCTCCTCACTCTTAACCGCCATCAGGATTTCATTGGCTATTCTCTCAACTTAATAGCACTGCTGATACCATTGACACTACAATCTTTTCAATATTTTTCTCCATTAGATGTGCATTTAATAGAGGGCTGCTTTTAGTTCGGCAAATTTGCAACTCCGAGCTTACGTAATAATATGCCCAGGTGCAAGACTCTAGCATATGAGACCAAGCTGAATATCTGAAGGTGGGTTACAGAGTATGCTTTTTGATTGCCTACTTACTGATATCCTCTACTTTTGTAGATTCAGGTTCTGGTAATATAATTACTTTAAAATGGTGTACTTAGATAGTGACTCCTGAATACAAAGAATGGATAGATCTTAAACAAGAGACAAAGCTTCCTAAGTCCACTAAAATAAGCCAAGAATTGGTAGATATTAAGAACAAGATGGTATAGCATTCAGTTTGGTCACATTTTTATTAAGCTGTGCAGGGTGATGTGGAGCTCACTTCCACCAATTGGTCGTAGTAGCAGAGGGAATTCGAAGAAGGCCTCTGCTGCCCTAGTTGTCGTGATAATTCCCAGCATTGGACCGTTGATTTGGTACAGTCTTAGACATTTCGCTAAAAATTTATTGAAATAACCTTGCGTACAGAAATGTGTAGGTAGAAAAATTGGCCCTGAGAAGTTGGAATGAGGGATTGGGAAACAGTTCTATGCTATAGAATGTCCAGGCATGTACCAAGTCAACTGTCTGATGCTGAAAATTATCATGACTAGTGCTGTTGAAGACACGGCATCAATATCAATTTGTGAAAACGAAACCGGACCAATTAGAGATATTTCAATTTCCCACAATAAAAAGAGAACAAGTTCTCTCAAAGCCCGTGAAGGTTGCTTAGTCTTACCTTCCAAAAGGCTTTCCTATCCCTATTGGAATGCAACTTCGGCCTCGTCAGCCTCTGAGCAGAACCTCATCGAGACTCGAGTATGGGTAGTGAATACCATGAGCTTCGTGCTAAATGAGAGGTGCGCCTGAAGTATGCTCAAATTTAAGGCTGCATACAAAAGGCGGTGGAACATTCCCAAATCCCTGGGGCCTTGTTTGCCAGTTTATCTGTTTCTTACGAGGTGGGTTGAAGGGCAACCCGAGAGGTCGGGGTGTCAAAACCTGAAAAAGTTCTGAATGATCAGAAGAACTTTATGGTGCCTAAAAGTCTGAGACCAACCATTCCGAAGGGTCATTCTCCAGCAAACTTGGGCTTCCCTGATCAGAGAATTAGCTGGATAGATGGCTGAATTCCGGCCAAATTTGTCTTGTGGGAATAGGAAGCCAAGTGAAGAATATTGGACAAAATTAGTCCATAAATACTGTCTTTGCTCGGAACCAACTTGTTTACACCAGCCAATTAGCCGCAGGCATATATGTGCATGCAAGTATATGCCTGCTTATTAGCAGCATTACACAACCATTGGAACATGAGTTGCCAACTCCCAGGAACCTCTAGCAAGACAGATGAACAAAGGACAGTAATTAATTTCTGTTAATTATCCAGCAACAGCAGTCTGTAGTTACCAAGGTCTTAGCTGAGAGTGCATGGCATGAGCCATTCAAGCATACGATTATTGA